CTAAGGCCTGACCTGAGTAAAAGCTATACAAATTTATATATATATGGATATAATTTAAGTTATATTTTTGTTCTGTGGCATTTTACTTCTTAAGATGATCATTTTCTTATCCAATCCTTGATACATAGATGAGGCATAGGTTGGGCATCTGTAATCATTAAATGCTTTGGCACTTTCACCCTTCTTTCTACTTCTAGTGTGTAGCCAGCTGCAATCCAGGATCCTTCCTTTATGCTTACTCTCCATCTAGATCTATCCAGTGCCTTATTTTCCCAACTCTTGGTGTCAATCTTGAAGAGCTTCGTGATATTTTTAATGAAATTTTTTTCTTAACTACTTATAAACTGCTCAGTACTGACACCATAGCAACACATAACAAGATGGATATCTGTTTCAGTTTTGAATAAAATTGGATTTTTTTGGAAGAAATCTTTTCTTACTGTACTGTTATTAATGAAAGGTTGCCTTGTCAGTAGTTAAATAGATTGCATTTTGTTTACTCTCTTCTCTCATACTTATAAAAATTAAATGCTTTTCAGTTGCTCTCTTTTATTTCAACAATTGTCCATCAGAATTATTTTTATAAAGCTTATATCAACTCACCCAGTCTGTCTTGTCAAGTAACAAGTTCAGACAAGTTTTTTCTCCATTTCCCTTTCTCTGATAAAGTTAATGCACAATTATTCATTGCACCTGACAAGACATGTATTAATTTTTTAAAAAATTAAACAATTGATTAATTAATTGTTGGTGATTAATTCTTTTGTTTGATTTTTAAAAAAATGTGAATAAATGTTGAGAGTTGTACATGGATTTAGTTTTGACAGCTTCCCTTTCTCGGTTCAAGTTGAAATTTTGCATAATTATTCATCTCGATAACAATAACATTTAGCACTAATTAATTAATTTTGTTTATATAGCAGAAAGGGGGCTAAACCCTGTAATTTTCAGATAAAGGTAGTAATTAGTGGTTACTTAGGTTTTTAAAGAAGTATTTTTTTTTTTTTATTGGAAGTTTTGCTTTCTATTGATGCATAAACTTAAAACAAACAGAAGCTGTAACTAGTTTAGATATTTTTATTTTTCAAAATATATCTCTACCAGTAACAAATATCAACATTTTCAACATGACAATTATAATATTTAATAGAATTAAGAACTGCCATTGTTTATCCTGTTGACTTTGTAACTACACTGAACAAAACATTTTGTTTTTGACACGTTTCATACTGGCTGATGATACGAATAAGGCAAATAGGTGACAGTGAATGGTTACAGTTCCAACAGAAAGTGAAAAGAATATAGTTTTTTTCTGAGTTGGTACACTTGACGTGTTACTCAATATATTATACATGTGCCATTTCAATCTGATAATGAACATATTTGTCACTGCACCCTATTGTTCATTGGTGCCCGACCTTGGAGCCATGTACATTTCCACATGGGTCTTCGAGCGCATCACCTAATCCAATGATGCCGATCAGCTGCTGCTTTATAATGCAGACATTTCCTGATAGCACAATGTCATTGGCCAGATATCACCCGCATGCCGTAGTTTGGGCTTCACTGCTGTGGGCTGTGTAGTCTTAGTTTCTAAGGAATTTCACTTTTGCATGATAAAAGTTTTTGAATGCCTGACGTGTCATCAAGTGACACCTGACAGTCAGTCGTTGAGGTGCTTCCTTTTGTGGAGGTATTAGAATCGCACGTTTCATACTGACGGGACTCTGCATTCTCACTCAGATTGTCCCAGTCCCTTCTAAGTGCCCAGTCACTTTCTTCAGGGCAGCCGTTGTCTAGGGTGTTCTCCCTGTGACCAAGTGCCGCGTTGTGGTTCTCTGTCTCTTCGTCGTAAGTATGCCTGCCTTTCGTGGAGCGGCACATGACTCGACAGGTCAGGATTTGGTAGTAGGCCGTACGGAACTGTTCGTTCATGAAGCCGTACAGCAGTGGGTTGATGGCACTGCCAAGAAAGACGGACGTCTGACAAAACATGTGGAATGTCTTACTCAGCATTCTGCTCCAGTCGATCACACTGGAGATGGTGCAAGGGAAGTAACTGAGTACAAAGACCAGAAAGATGGCGATCATCATTCGAGTCAGGCGCATTTCCCTTCGTTGGTTATTTAGCCTCATTGTTGAGTTGGTTGTCGTTGACGACAGAAAGCGTAGACGTTGATGGGACGCCCTTGTCGTGACGTAGATGGCTGTATAGTAGTAGATGATTAGTCCACATGGGATGGCTGCACGGACTATTAGAAGGAAAATTTTGAAGGTTTGGCTGGAGTTGTCTAGTCCCAGGTTACAGCTTGACAGCATTGGAATGTAACCAAAATGTCCCCACGCCTGAAAATACAAATGTCTTTTATTAGCACGTGGAGAATGTTAACAAGTGTTTATTAAAAGTCACAGTAATATTTTATATTAATAAGTCTCTAAAAGGTTCATGTTTATTTTCAGTGCTATAATGTGGTTATAGATATACTGACTAGAGACTCCCGTAATGCGGTAGTATTCTAATTGGTAGCCACTATTTACATTAATGGAATTAGTTTGTCCACCGGTAGAAAAAAAAAAGTATTGAAAAATTATGAAGCTAGTTTGTAATGTTCGTGTTAATTATTTCCCCTTAGCGCCCTAATGTACACCTCAAGCTATCCAAAGTTATGTCTACAAAGCACACGTAAAAGTGATAGTATAATTAATTATGAACCACACATTGTGTTTTTAAGATTATGAAACATTAACCTTGTAGTCCCAAATGATGTAAACTTGTTCTCTTGACTCCATGAGAGTATTTTAAAAAACTGATTTAATGAGACTGATGGGGCATTGAATTTGATAAGATGTGAGTAGACTTACTCCCGAGACTGCCGGCTGCAGGCAGACTACTGGAACAATCCATGTACATGCCATCATCACGGCCATGTTAGATTTTCTGAAGAGATGTTTGTACTTGCTGACATCTACCACCAGCTTGTAGCGGTTCCACGCTATCAGAGTGATGGTCATAATTGTAGTACCTGAAAGCGGTGTGGAAAATGAGATAAACTTTATGTGTGTGAACAGAATACACATTTTCTAAGTGCTACCTATCACCGTTATAGAGAAACAATATAAAGGAAGATTGCTACCTGTCAGCGTATATCCCAGAAATCCGATAAATTTGCATATCTCTTCCTGATAATGCCATCCGTCAGTTAAATAGGTATACATATTAACAGGTAGCACCACAGAAACAAACATCAGATCACATATACTGAGGTTGGCCACGAATAAGTTGGACACAGTTCTGAGTTTTCTGTTCTGGATTATAGCCATTGTCACTAAGATGTTTCCTGGAGAGAAGAAACGAAGAGTCTATTGAAACTTGTAGCCTACTCAATGTGTGATTTGAAATCTAGCTAGTGTTTACACTTGAATCGTTGCAATATTATAGTGATAGCTTTGTATACGCGGTCATTTTTGTGTCGTCTGTTTTAAAAAAATCCAACATGCTTTAAAACATGCACTTAATTGAATGAGGCCAAGCAGACGTGACGACAGTTGGCTACGTTGAGTTGCTCAAGTTGTCTATTCAGTTCTTTGTTGCCTCCAACTGATAGGAATGTTTAGAGAACGTGTAAGCACTCACGGCTAAAGTTGTGCACTGTTCAGAACGTGGGCTGGGGAAGGTCTGTGGGTGTTGTCTCTCAAAGGTTTATGTGAAACCCTGTTACACTTGTATTTGTAGTCTATCTTGTAGGGATGGCCACTTCAATTAAAAATGTACTACTGTTCTGTTCGGTACAATAATTAGTTAGAATCGTATCACCCATGTTAACATGTCTTGTTGGCATGCGCAATAGCTGTTAGAAGATAACTGCTCCACGTGATCAGTATAATTCCAATTAGTCAGTAATTAAAAAAAAAAAATGCTTGTTTCAGCTTGTCATAGAACTATCATGCTTTTATGGCATACATCTTTTACTAACCACTTAAGCAATGTGTTTTTAAAGGTTATTATTGTCGTTAACTAGTTCAATTGTCAGTTTGTCCCAAATGATGTAATATTTATTGCCTTATTTGTTTGGTGAAGGTAAAAAAAACTGATTTAATGAGACTGATGGGACAAATGAGACATTCTATCTAGGCTATTGTTTGAAACTTACCAAAGCTTCCTAAGGCTATAATAACAGTCATTAGTGTTATGACCGCTACTAATGCCGTCCTTTCACTGTCCTCTAGGTGCACGACCTGTTCATTGTTAGGATTTTTTATGTCCATGGTAACTGTGTGATAGAGAACGTTTTCAACTAGTGCACTCGTGTTATTAAACATAATTACTAGCGTCCTTCAAGTGGGTAGTATGTACATCACCGCGCGCGACATGATGGAAATGTAATGAATAGCACTGACACTGAACATTGGCACTTCACTGATAGTCCTTGTAATCCAGCTGGTAGTAGCTTCCACGTCTTGAAACCAGGAGAGAAAGTTCCTGCCGTGCCAATTTATAGGAGCCGCTCTCGTTGCATCCCTCGTCTCCTGCCACCAGACTTCTCACCTCACCGCGAATTTCTCTTCCTGACTACTCGGCGCTGTCATTTTAAAACTCTTTTATCTTGTATAGAATAGATGTAATGGATTGGCACTGCTTCTAACCTATGAATTATTAAATAATCATATTTGTAGTCGAAGAACTAGTAATTAATGTTAGGCTCTAAAATTGAATAATAGAATATTACAAGCATGTCCCATGTGATGTAATCTGATGTTCTTGACTCCCTGAGAGTTAAAACCAAAAAAAAAACTGATTTAATGAGACTGATGGGACTCCTAGTTTACATAGACATCTATAAATACATAGAACATATGATGTATTTTTTTAAGTCATAGTTTCCGTTGTTCCTATTTGTTACTAACTACACATTAGCCCTGGCTTAAAAAAATAACTGAGAATGGCGCCACGATCACTAGGGAGATGGTAGGGTAGAGTGTGATGGATTGGGCCCCCCCCCAACACACACACACACACATACAACTTGCCAATCAGTAGTAGTTTTAGAACTCAGCAAGAAATCTGTCTGGTGCAAGTTCGTGGCATGCTAGTCATTTATCATCTGACACGTGTTTTCTTTCCCTGATGATAGGTGAGCGAGCGGTCAGTGGTTCGGTCTGCATCCGGTCATCGTCTTTACGGACACGGTCTGGACTTTGACTGGGTGCACTTGTCTGTTGACCCATAGGAAGGCTTGATGTGTTTATTATTCCAGACCACACCATGACCATGTCTAGACTGGGGCTGTTTCATAGCTTCCAACTGCCTTCTTTATGGCTTGTACTTCTAGTCACTTGAATGACGTGTTAGTACCGGCACTTGATTAGTTTTCCACATGAGGTTTATATTCTCTACAAGCACACGTTTCTGATACCAACCTCTCTTTGCCTTTTGTGTTGTTCATTTAGTGAGGGTACGTGCTAGTCACAGTGTACTTGATAGAAGCATTCATCCTGTATTTTCATACATCAAAGAAAACTAATAGGCGCATTATTATTCGACAGCTTACATCTAGGAAATGGGTTGTATCCCATGAATCTCAAATGTTTTCCTAGAGCCTTGATGTCTTTCGTTGTTTTGTAATGTAGTTGTGTTGCTTTGTTCTTGACATTTTATAAAGGTGTTGTTTTTTTTCCTTGCTTAGGTTGTAAACAATGGCCAAGTCCAAGAATCACACAAATCACAATCAGAGTGAGTACTGACCTTTTTTTTTTTAGTACCGGGTATTGTAGATTTTTAAGTATGTTTTCCCCTTGAAAAATGATTACCAATAACACATTAACCAGTAGTCATTCTCTATTTTTATATCTAATTGGAACATTTATGTGAAGAAGAATTGTGATTTTGATTTAGCAATGATGAATTAGTACACCTTAAACTAAGTTTGGCAACTTGAACCCTATTAAATCAAAGTAATAGCACCGTCTTTTTGTAATTGTATGAACAATGAAAATAACTTTGGTTATAAGTGACTTGAAAAGTAATTACTCTTATACTCATTGTGTCCATCTCATTTTACCAGCGAGTCGTAAATGTCCTATAGTTACTACGGTATTTTTGTTGTTGTGGTTTTGTATTATTGAGATATATATAATGAAGAACAACAAACAAAACCAGTTATACAGAATTTTTGCACTCAAAAAGTAGCCAAACTCTTACACCTTTCTCCCCCCCCCCCCCCTTTAAAAAAACGCCTTTCCTCGTTTTCTTTTTGTTTCCTTTGAAGAATTTATTAGTGCCTGGTATAGTCCATGAGTTTTGGTTTAAACATGATGTTAATGTTTCTTTTTTTGTGTTCAATAGAATTATGTTAGTCCTCTTCACTTTTAGAGCATAGCGTTACATAGTATGTCAGTAACCAATCACATTGCTTGTAGTCCATTCTCCTCCTGACATGATGGTATGTTACAGTACCTGACTTGGTGGACGACATTTAGGCGTATCGGTATCTCCCCGTTGCTCGGTCCACGTGACTTTCATGGCACCTAGCATGAGCTGTGTGCGGACGAGCTGTCTACATAGACACCCGCCTTAAATCTTTGAGGGAAGTTTGGGAGTGTAGACATGTTAGTGTGCTTCGCGCTACATTGTGTCCCCTCGAATAGCGAAGTTTGTTTCCTTAAAGGCCTTTGAAATTTTTATGTTTATCGGGTTATCGACACCATCCTCAATAGCACTATGCATCTAGAAAATAAGATGATGGCTATGACTTGTTACATTCCTGGCACAATTAAACTCAGTGTGGTTATTCTAAAAGTTCTACATTCTCTGGATTAAAGCTAAGAGAATGATTATTTGAAAGGCTCTGACGTCTATCATAAGCCGTATAAGCTGTATTAACTAATCATGAGCACTGCTTTTAAAAAAAAAAGTTCTCTTGGTAAGAACATGGCTTACAAGTGGGATTCACATCTTAAAGAAAATTCCCCTTGGTGAGACTTGACTTACTGAGGTGGGGGTATTCTTATAATTTGAACAGTGATCTCAGAGGAAACCCGTGAAAATTAGAGCTATTTTTGTTATTAGAGGCAAGCTGTGTATGGGCTAGAGCAGTGTTTCCCAAACTTTTTCATTAACGGAAAACTTCGCACATTAGCGGAACACTTTGTGCTTATTTTTCAAAAAAGTAATTAACTTCCTTGCCTACTAGCTAATTATTCCAGTAGTTCGTGGAACACTATGTTCCGAGGAATGCAGTTTGGGAGACACTGGTTTAGAGTATAGGCTTCTCTTTGTCACGAAGCTAGAGCTTTGACGTTTTCACTGATCAAAACATTCTCTGACCAAATTAATGCGTGACTATTTCGGGAGTCCCACCTTGTATTTAGTAAACTCACGTGTTGTTGGCACTGACTCTCATGTTTGTCAAGAGCTTAGCTCACGTGCTGGGCCTAATGAAATTGTTGAGTACCAAGGCAGAGAACGTGTACACTGACCTGGTCTCTGCCCTGTGTGGGTCATTTCATTCATTTAGTCAGCTTTAGTCTTCTCTCCTTCCCTAAATGGAGCGTATGTTATTGTGTGCCAGTCAGTGTCACTTACTGGGGCCAGACTATATGGTGGGTTTGAACACGTGATCTTACATAAGAGCGAACCCACGCAAGTTACATTTCATTTTTTGATTTTCAGACAAGAAACACCATCGTAATGGCATTCACAGGCCCAAGTCTCACAGATATCCTTCAATGAGAGGGGTAGGTCAATGTTTGTCATTTCTTCAAAGAAGACTTCTCATCAGCAGGGAACCGTATTAATTCAATGTTCTGTTTCCTTTACAGGTTGATCCCAAGTTTTTGAAAAATCTCAAGTTTTCCAGGAAACACAACAAAAAATCTGTAGCTGCTGGCAAGAATTAAAAAGCATATGAATGATAGTGTGTGGCCAAGTCAATAAAAAGTGATGGGAGAACTTTACATACCACTGACTTTTGTCTTATTTTATCTCGTTTTGTGTAGTTGAATAATGTTTTAATATTTTGATACGGTACCAGTAGATCTATATAGCTCCTGAAAGAAATGTCTCTGAATAGATCAGATAGGTTTATGAAGCTATCTATGATGTAATGAAATTGATCATTCAAGCACTATTTATAGCTATCAGTTGCTGGCAGTGAGAGCATAACGAGAAACTACTAGTGGCCCATTGAATGTTGGGGTCAAGAGTTTAAAGCAAAAAACGGCCTCACCTAATTGCTATTTTATATACGAGTCAAAATTCCGAGGGCTGTCTGAAAACATGCTCCCTGTAAAAAATGTACCGGTACCGGGTACTTATCACTTTAAAAATTGGGAGTTAAATCTCATTAGTTAAAACTTTTTTTTTTTTAAAAATCTCATTCGCCAAACAAACATTTAGTCACATGACAATATTGATAAGACAATAAAAAGAACTGTCACGTGAAAGCCATTGTGTATTAAAAATTTGAATAGAAGAGAGACTCACGTGGCTAAATTTTGTTTACGATTGGTGAATAAGTTCCATTGAGAGAAAGTACTACACTTAAAGAGACAAATAAAAATGCAGTTTTTTGGATTATGGGTGATTTCAACCTACCTGATATAAATTGGAAAACACTAACCATAGATAAACACCAAAACCTTAAGGACATAAATGAGCTTTTCATAGAAACTTTACACAACCTAAGTTTAGATCAAATCATTAAAAAGCCAGCTAGATTAAACAACACATTAGATCTCTTCTTAACCAACAGACCTGGATTAGTAGTTGATTATGATATTATCCCTGGTCTATCAGACCATGAGATCATTAAAATACACAGTCAGATAAAAGCAAAATCTTACTCTGGAATAAATGTAACCTAACACAACTACACCAAGCTGCATTAAACTTTCAACAAACATTCTTATTAGAAAAAGACATTAACCAACCAGTCGATGACCTCTGGAATTTCATCAAAAACCATCTTAAAAGCATTATAGAAAATCATATACCAACTAAATACACATCAAACAAAATAAATAAATGCTGGTTTAATAATAGACTAAAGAAGCTTTGTAAACAGAAGGAAAACCTATATAGAAAATTTAAAGAAACCAAGGCAGAAAGAGTTCACAAAAAGTATATAAAAATTAAACACCTAACCCAAAAAGTAAGCAGACAGCTGCAGAGTGAATACATAAACAATGTAATATCTAAAGATAACAACAAAAACCTAAGGTCATACATTAAGTCTAAGAAAATGGAAACAACAGGCATAGCGCCATTAAAAGATGAACATAACATAATATATAATGACAATGAAAATAAAGCAAACATCCTAAACAAATACTTTGCATCAGCATTCTCAGCCCCAGGAGACAAAGACATATTTCTTAATTTGAACCAAGTAGACAATATAGAAGATTTAGTAGTACAAGAAAATGGAATTCAAAAACTATTATCCAACACCAAACCAAATAAAGCATCTGGACCTGATGGTATTCCAGCTAGATTACTCAAAGAACTAAGCAATGAGCTAGCCCCAGTGTTCAAAATACTCTTTCAGGCTTCACTTAACCAGGGAAGAGTACCAAAGGACTGGAAAGAAGCTAATGTCACCCCCCTATTTAAAAAAGGAGAAAAATCTGATCCAGGAAACTACAGACCAGTATCACTTACCAGCATCACATGTAAAATCCTAGAACACATAATATGTAGCAACATCATAAACCAGTTAGACAAACAAAATGTCCTCACACCATACCAACATGGCTTTAGGAAATATAGATCATGTGAAACACAACTAATAGGACTAATTGACGATTTTTCAAAAGGTTTAGATAATAGTGAACAAATAGATGCTATTTTACTAGATTTTTCCAAGGCTTTTGACAAAGTTCACCACCATAGCTTGCTTAAAAAATATTTCGGCATTAATGGTCCACTGCATCAGTGGATTAAAGATTTTCTGATAGGGAGAGAACAAACTGTAATAATAAATGGCTCTAAATCAACACCAATAACAGTAAACTCAGGTGTACCTCAAGGAACAGTCTTGGGTCCACTACTTTTTTTAATTTACATAAATGATTTACCAAATTGCAATAGTTCAGGAACAAAAGTCAGATTATTTGCAGATGATTGCATCATATATAGAACAATAAAAACAACACAAGACACAGATATTTTACAAAGAGAATTAGATGAATTACAGAAATGGGAATCAAATTGGAGCATGTCTTTCCACCCAGAAAAATGTCAGTTGTTAAGAGCAACAAAAAAACTAAAACAAATTAATTCCACTTATCTTATTCATGGCAAACCAGTAACACCGACTAAAAACGCAAAATATCTAGGTGTTCTAATAAATGAAAAACTGTCATGGAATCCACATATTGATGAAACTACAAAAAAATCAAACAAAGCATTAGGGTTTATTAAAAGAAATTTCTATAAATCAAATAAGAACATAAAACTAAAATGTTATTTAACCTTGGTTAGGCCAATAATAGAATATGCATCCACCGTTTGGGACCCATCAACTCAAGAAAACATTAAGAAACTGGAACAAACACAAAATAGAGCAGTGAGATTCATAACAAACGAATATTCACATTTGACTAGAGTAACACCATTAGTAAAATCACTAAATTTAGAAAGCCTTCAGGACAGAAGACTCAAAAGTAAAGTAGCAATTATACATAAAACACTGAACCATAATCTT